TGTGGCTCTTCTCTGAACCATTTTCAATTTTCCAAATTCTTCTTGAATGGTGGACACCGGACCTGGACACAATATTCTAACAGCAGTTGCCCCAATGCCAACTTGAGATTCCTCTGTTGTGCTGTGGGGTGTCATACTGGAATCTCATGTTCAGCTGATTATCCACCACAACCCCCAAATCTTTTTCAGAGTCACTATTTCCCAGGCTGTAAGTATAGCATACATTCTTTGGAGATGTATATGGCTAAATCTACATATTAAAACATGTAAGTGTACCCATCTTACTAAGTAATTGAGATTGCTCTGTGATCTGTACTTTCATTATTTACCACTTCCAACTTGTCATTTGCAGATTTTTGGTGATTTTTTTTTTGTTTAAGGTGATCAACATTTTTATCAAATAGCATAGGGCCAAAAACTGATCCCTGTGGAACCTCACTAGAACCAGAGCTGTTCATTGATGATTCCCCATTGACAGTTACACATTAAAACTGGCAGGTCTCAGTGTATCATGTTAATGTTATCATGATAGTTTAATCAAAATGTCTCATGGTACCAAGTCAAATGCCTTAGAATATATTAGATCAGTTACCTTTAATTCCTCTAAAAAAAGAGACAGATCCGGTCTATTTTCTGTAAACCCATGTTGATTGGCATTTTTATGTTACATTTAATTATTAAGCCCTATATCAGTTGCTCCATTGTTTTCCCTGGGATTGATGATAGACTAATAGGACTAATTACCTGGGTCATCCTGTTTTCTCTTTTTAAGTAATGGGAACAACCTTAGTTTTGTTCCAGACTTCTGGAACATCCCCACTGACTGAAGACTTATTGAAAAAGTCAGGATTAGTGGTTCAGCAAGCTTCTCAATCAGCTTTTAAAACTCTTGGATGCAAGTTATCTGGACCAACTGATTTTGAAGTGTCTGACTTTAGCAGTTGCTGTTTAATATCCTCCTGAGAAACTTTCCACTCCATTAGTATATCAGGTACTGCTGTTTTTTTCCTAAATACAAAAATATTTACTGAATACCTCTACCACTTCCTTCTAGTAATGGACCAGTACCATTAAGATTGGTTTCCTTAAGTATATTAAGAATAAAAAAATGGGCCACAGCAAGAAACTTAAGGAATTTAAGGATGTTGGCCCTATCAATTTTCTACAATTTCCTAGCTGTGTGATTTATATTCATTACTGTCAACTTCCCCTTTCTTTCATTTGTTATATATTTTAAGTAGCTGCCTTCACTCTATACTACTTGTGAACAACACTAGGATGCAAGATAGGCTTGAGGCAACACCACTGTTTCAACAAAAGACTTCAGATAATGCAGGGAAGTGATTTTAGAAGGGGGTTGGCTACATCAGGATAGCATTGAAGCTTATTACTGTTATAGGGGTGGCTTCTTGTTCCTTGTGTATGTAAGCATACTCATTTTGTCATTCACAAGGTAGTACTCAAGTATATCAATACTGTGCTCAATCTTGTTACATCACTAAAGAGTCCAGTTCAAGGTGAGCTGTGTAGTGAGTGCTTGAGTAAAAGTGAGTGTGTTACAGGTGAGGGTTGTGCACACCTGGCTAAATCTAGGGGGTGCATGAGAATCCTTTATACAGCTGCTCAAAAGCATGCAGTCTGGCCATTCTAACCCCCACAGGGGATTTATTAAAAACAAGGAATTCTATGCTTTGACTAAGTCAGTATAAGGGGGATAGTGAATAGTTAAAAAAAAACAAGACATAAGACTGACCCCAGACCAGTTACAAACCTTTATTAAATTCTCAGCCATTGTTCAGAATGGAAGTAATGCATATGCTACATTCCCCTACATTAACTTACCAACTGAACAAGAACTTTAAGAAGTCAGTAACTTTAGAAAGTTCTAAAAAAAATAAAGCCAGAGTTTTGCTCCCTTCTGAAATAGGCAGTAATGTCTGTTAAAGATTCTCTGTAAACTGCATATTTTATTTTGAATTGTACCCAACATCAGCAGCTGTTTTTATAGTTCCTGTTACTTTTAAAAGTATTGACAAATTTGCTAGTTTAGCCAATATCCAGCTTGTGCATAAAGTTTTGGAGTAGTTTTCTTTAAGAATGATAGGGGGTTGTGCAATAAAGATTCCAGGGGTGTTTTTGGCTGGTTATTTTAAAGAATTAAGTAGAATACGGTAAGCTAGGCACATAGGTTGTCTTCCATTTCCAACTCTTACTACACCTCTATTATGGACTACTGTGATTGAATTGCAGCACTTGAGTCTAATTTAAAAAAAAAAACTCAAAGCTCCGTTTCTGTTAAAGTAGTTAAGATAGAGTAGCAGTGCTAAAGCTAGCTTCTCTCTCTCTCACATACCACACCCACCATCCATAAAAGATGTGAATCTAGCTTAAGAGTATCTTTCCTGCACTTACTCCCTCACTTCAGCATCTTGTACTTTTATCAAAATAATACAGAAATCCCCCTGTAAGTCCTGGCTCTAGACCACATTCTAGGCCCAAGTAGGTGCGGGAGGCAGTATACCTCCAACTATCTACTGCACAGAAAACCAAGAGTATTTTTAATATACTAATTTCTCCAGTTGCCAAAAAAACCCCTACCTTCTCAAACTAGGTGAACACTGGGAATTGAATAGTGGGTTGTAGAGAAAGTTGAAAGATACCCAGGTATATAAAAAAACCCACTATACAATATGGCAATATTAGTTTTTGTGCAACACCATTTGCCCAGTAAAATTCAACTCAGATTAAAGTTGTCACTGGATAATGTTAAAGACATTTCAATAACTGCCATTAGATCTCACCCTAAAGAAAGAAAGTGGTTATACTGTTAAGTATCTAGCCCTAGAACAGATTACAGCAAAGGTCATGGGCAATACTGGCTTCCTACTACACTCCATTATTTCCCTCAAAACCTACTTTCACTGAGCTGGGGGACCCTTTAAGGGAAATTTTTGAATTCTAAAGGAACAATTATTGCCCCTGATGGTGGTTTGATACTATCTAGGAACTGGACTGAATAATCTATTTCACAGGGGTCACCAGAGAGGTAATTGGCAACTTTGTTCACTACCCTAGTCTTGATTCAAAACACTAAACTACAATTCTTCTTAATCCTGTTTTTCCTTCCTTACGCTCAACCCATACCCACCCCAGAAAAGCTAATGGGTTAAGGTTTGTAATACTGTAACTCCCAAAAGTTAGCATGTACTAGTTTCACTATAATTTATCTGTATTCACATTAAGTTCCTAGTATGTGGAATACAGTCTTTGCAAAATATTGATTATAGGTTTGAATGAATTTGGGACCACTGAAGTTAACACCTGTTCCCTCTAACTACATTTTATTTTTTAACTCAACATTGAGTAATTAGCATTTGGCTGCCATTAAACAGAGCTATGTAGGAATACGCACTTCACTTTGATAAAGAATGTGAAAGGACAGTATACAATATATATATGTAATGAGACCGACATTCTGAATGAAGCAATAAGCATGAAAATAGATTAGCTGTACCTGCACAGAAACACTTGTGTAATGGCAGTGCTTTCTACAATCTTTTGACTGTTTTAACACTCTTGTAGCAATATTGTCAGAACAGTTACATTCTATTAAGAGTAATATTTAATATATTAAAGTTTGATTGGTGCTTATGCATTGCTCCTAATGAACATCATAATCATCCAATAAGGTGGTCATGGTAAAGCAGTTTTCCGTTGACTATACTGGACCCTTCAGCAAATTTATGATTAAGGTGGTGGTGTTCAGAAGAGAGCAATAAGTGATGCTAGATCTGCTGTAAACAGTTGGACTTAAACAGTTCGTGGCTTTATAAGGTAACTCAGGCAGCTCCTGCAGTACACATCATGTTGCCAAATTGCAATTTTAATTACGTCAGAGGAAAGTGTTTCAAATGCTGCTGTAGCCTGCTGTTCAAAATGTTTGATTCATATTGAAACTAATGTTTGTCATAAGCTTCATCAGTCCTGCCCCCAGAAATATGGGAACTTGGGGTGGCTATAAAACATATTTTTGGTCTTAAGATTTAAATACATGCACTGCTCGT